TTTTCAGGGTGCATCAGTCTGGGTTGGAAGTCATTTTCCTTTAGAATCTGAAATTCTTCACTCCATGCTCTTCTTGACTTCATTGTTTGTGTTAAGAAGTCTGCTGTGATTCTGATAGGCTTTCTTTTGCAGGTATCAATCTGTCTTTACTCTCTAACAGCTTTTAATATTCTGTTCTTATATTGGATTTCTGGGATGTTGATTATCATATATCTGTATGTGGTTTTATCTTGGTTATGGCTAATTGATGTCCTATATGCTTCACTCATCTGTATGTCAGTTTCTATTCTCATGTTTGGGGAATTTTCAGCTTTTGCTTCTATAAATAGCCTCTTGATATCACTTGTTTTGTCACCTTCTCTTTCATTTATACCCATCGGTCTTATGTTGTTTTTCTTTGCATCATCTTGCAGCTGCTGAATTGTTATTTTAAAAAGATTCTTCCTTTCTTGTTCATTGGCTGCAATTTGTCTTTGAGGTCTGAAAGTCTATCTTCACATTCAGTGAGTCAGTTTTTTCAACTTTCAATGGAGTTTTTGATTTTCTGTATATCACTTTGAATCTGCTTCATGCAATGTTTGTTTCTTATATTATTCATTCAAGATTTCCATATTTTTGCATTGTTCCTTTAATTTATTTACTATGTCCTATTTAGATGTATTCAGCATTTCTTTCATTACATTTATCATTTCTTCTTTTACCTTGAAGATTATTTCTGATCTGAGTTCTTTTATAGATTTCTGGAGTTGTTTCTTTACTTCATTTACTATCATTTCAGGAGTTTCAGGTGTATGGCTTACATTTTGTTCTATGTCAGTGTCTCCTAGGCTTGCTTGGGATGTGCTGGAGGTTTGAGGTTGCAATATGCTCTTTCATTTTGTCATTGTTCTATATTCCCTTATGGAAGCTGAATGCAAGGTCTCAGTTGTTTCTTGGGTTGAGGATATCTATCCCTACTGCAGGGAGTTTCCCGAGTTGAGTGGAAGTCCTTAGATGGACCTTACCAGATGGCTTCAGCCACCTGGGTTTGCTGAGTGGGGCCTTACCTGTCTCAGAATTGAGCACCAAATCTTCCCCATTGGCTGGATAGGTCTGTGCACACTTTTGGAGCAGCAGGCAGAATGCCAGCAGCTTGGCAGTCATTGGGCAGGGCCTGGAAAGGCCCAGAGGGACCTCCTGGTGCATTCTTCAGTGATGTGTGATGTGGGGCAGGGTCTTAAGAGTCTCCCAACAAAGCAGCAAACTTCTGTGGTTGGGATAGTGCTGTGCACACTTTCACTATGCCAGGAGGAATTAGAAAATTAAACTTAGTAGAGTTCATTTGAACAAGAAAATAGGAATTAGAAAGCACTCAGAATCATAAATGATTCAGAGAATTCCTCCCATTGGTCATCACCAAGCATAAAATGTAGCAATACAGAAAAAATCTGATTGATTGCATTTAGGAGTCTACAATATTTGGACATGGTATGATAAACTGGTTGTCTGCAATGGACTGAAGTTTAGCAGCTTACAAATGGTTGAAATATGGCTGCTTGTTACCCTACTAAATTAAGATTCAGTTTATTTACACACTGTTATGCTATAATTTAGTGTGTAAAAACTCAGGATGCAAATATTGCCTCATGACAAAATTAATTTTTTTAACATGTATCTCAAAATATGTGGTAGATTTTAAATGCAGTATATTGTTGAGAAAATTTATAAAATATATTTGTGTTATATATAAAATGTATTTTTATCTGTTAGGAAATGGGTGAAATAAAAGACCCAAAATAACTAAACAAATGGGTTACAACACATTTTTACAGAAGAAAGACTATCAAAAAATACCTTCTAGCAAAATACTATTACTATAAATAAAGGTGTTTAAAGCCTATGGCTTTCTTAATTGAATATTTTCTAAACTTTATATAAAATGTATATTCACATTGAGTTTGAAAAGCTACAAATTCTGAACACTTTTTATTTAAAACCAGAAAGCATTTCAAATTACTAATAAATAGGATTATAGATGTGAATAAAAACTATAAATAAAAAGTACCAAAATCTAGTTTTCAGCCATGAAATATTGCAAAAACTATACATGTATTTTCTCCTTACTTCTGTTTTATTTCCATCATATCAAACTTAATAAAAATTGCTGGAATAACATCATTATTAATATTTAGTATTCATAGATGCTACTTCTCTTTATTTCTAGGAAGACATTTTACAGTTTTAATTGTTTACAGTGTTCCATATTTTTACATCTGATGACTTTTTGGTTTAGTTTTTCCAGTTTTCTCTTTCAAAGGTATCAGTAATATATCTGTCATATTCATTTGTTCTTTCATCATTTTCTCAGTATTTATAGCATTGCAGTTTATAATAGCTAAATCTTAGAAACAATCCAAATGTCCATCAACCAAAGAATGGATGAAAAAAAGATGTGGGTTTTTTCATGCCATGGAATATTGCTCCTACACAAAGAAGGATAAACTTGAGACGTTTCTGGGTAAACCAGTTCACCTGGAGATGATATCAGATACACGTGTTTAAATACTGCATTGTCTTCATGGTCTGAATAACTGAAAGAATAAATTAGGGCTAAAAATTTCAATAGATATTGTGAAACAGGAAGAACTTTTTCAAAAGGAAAGAGAAACCATGCAGGGTAGGGGCAAAGTAAGGGAAAAGAAAGAGAGAGAGAGAGAGAGAGAGAGAGAGAGAGAGAGAGAGAGAGAAAATAAAATAGAAACAAAGATTTGTAAATAAGGAGAAAAAGAGGAATTAAAGGGTGGAAAGAGATTTGAGGGGAAAAAAGAGGAATCTAGATATATCATGTGCAGTTACAAATTCCCTGTAATGAGTATGATTATCATGTATATCTAAATTACAGCAGTAAACTTAATAAAAATATACTTTCTTCATTTCCACTTAATTGTATTTGTATTATTTGACTGTATTTTCAAGCAACTTACAATATTGTAACAGTATTTATTCTATTTCTCATTCTGATTTGTTATTTTTGTGATATCTATATATTACTATTCAGTAATTTTTAAAAACACTATAATCTTATTTTCTTTTTTGTTATTGCTTCTCTAGAACTTTTCTGTATTTTTCACTCATTTATTTTTATAAATTAGTTTTTTATTTTCAATTCACAATAACAATGTAGTAATATTTCTTTCCTGGCATTGATTCTATGAGATGGTCCTCTGTGGGACATATATTCAAAAGTTGTTAATTCCATTCTTGTATATTCATTTAATTTTATTTTCTTTTTATTCATTATTCACTTTCATAGGACTTTCTTACTTCCTGAAACATTCAAAATGTTCATATGTGGAGTATCACAGATACACTATTTCCATGCATTTTCTCGGCATAATAGGATTATTTTTACTGGTTGGGTTTTTGTTAGCCTTTTTCCTTCTGAAACAGTAAACACATCATTTCAGGATACTTAACAAAATATAATCACTTTTCTAGATGTTTGGAGATTCTCCCTTATTTCTGCTTCGTGAGTCTGAATAAATGAACTGGTTTTCTTAAACTTTCAAACTTAAAGGTTTCAATTATTACAGTGATTACATTTTCTGAATATTTAGTAATTTCTTAACTTTTATTGCAATAGAATCATTGCTTATTCCAATTTCTTCATGATAAAAATGTGAATTAACAACAGGTTAATTTCAATATAGTACTTTGCTTCAAATTTAAGTATTTCTATTTGTATAAATATATATGTATAGTTGTTTGTGTGTGTTTTGTGTTTTGTTTCATATATTTTGTATGTGACTGTGTACATCCTACACACCCCCATTTACCTATTTAATATTAGTGTATTTCTTTTATAATGCGATGCATAAAAAACTATTTGTGAATATGTGCTATTATTTACCTATGTAAAAATGTTCACTTCTGTTGCTATTAAAAGCTGAAATGTAGGTTAATAGAACCTGTTTATTGACAATATTTCTATGGTTGTTTAGCTCAAGTGTGTTTATATAAGCTTTTAATAGTGTAATAATACAGTCACTATGTCTTCAGGTTGATCAAATAGATCTGTACTATGTGTTGCTTAAAATTCAATGTAATTATAATAAACATTTATAGACTATTAGTTGTATTACTGATTATTGATATATCTCTAAATAAACATTTGCTATTGATTTAGAAAGGTACAGAGCTATTTGATAATAGGACATTTTAATTTACTGCTTTTTAAAATGTACTACTGTTAAAACTTCACCTTTATCCCACATTGCTCTTTTGAACTTGAGTTTAGTCAGCAAAAATCAAGACACATAACTATTGTATGATTGCCATTTGCAAACCAAGCATGTTTTATAATTATTCAGTGTTCCTTAAAGAGGATCGTACGGGCTCTTACAGGAAAAAAAGTGAGTAATAAAATCCACTACATGTTTATATGAATGCTTTTAAATTTCTGATGAAATTTCTAACAATGAAAAACTAACATTGCTTTTAACAATGAAAAACTAACCAATTGTATAAGCATTTGGTGAATATATATATATATATATATATTATCACAAAAGACAATTTGAATAAGAAAACACATCCACTATTAAAGCAACCTTGAAATAAGTCACTAGTAAATGGTAATAGATTAAAAGCGAGGTATAATTTTAAATTAAGAAAACTATACGAGTAGAAAAGATTATTCATACAGAAAAAATGTGTCTGTATATTAAAATGCACTTTAACAGTAGTGCTCATTACAAAAAAACTAACAAAAATTTCTTTATGGATAACAAAATATATTAAATAATATGTCAGGGCCAAAAACCTTCTTAAATTACAGAAAAATTTATATATTGCACATTTTATTACATACAATACTGTTTACTCATCTAAATTACTCTAAATATCACTTCATTGAAACACTTTTAAGAAATATAAAAACTGTTTATCACTTTTTAGGTTGTATTAATGGTTTGCTTAACTGATTGTAACCAAACCCTAAGTAGGTCAATGCCTTTTTGCAGGCCCATTCCAGTATCACCATGGAAACGTCACCCCTTCCGAACAATAATGAGTTGAAAATGAATACAGGAGCTGAGTAGTGAACCTAAGGTACACATAGAAAGATGCTTCCATGAGGTAGGTTCAGATTTGCGTGTGTGTGTGTGTGTGTGTGTGTGTGTGTGTGTGTGTGTGTGTATTCATGTGCAGTGGCAGAATCAATTATGCAACATTCTAATACTGTGATATTATGTTTGATTTTGCTGATTTTGCTACTAATTTATAGTGTTTTAATTGAAAATACAAATAAGACAGAATAAATTGGATTTTCATTTCACTTTTGTACTTTTTTCTTGAACTTTCAGATTTTAGTATACAAATAAACCAATCATATTGCATGATGCACCATGACTTACAGATCCCAAGTCAAATATGTTTTTAACTGAAGAATGTAATCCTTTAAATGGATAAATTTTAAACAGGAAAACAAGTTCATAAGATCAATAGCATTCTACCATAACTGCTTAATGTGTGTCAGAGAGGTATTATGATTACAGTAACATAATATTCACATGAATTTAGCTAAAACCCAAAAGACTACATTAACTAGTTTGTGTAAAATAGATGAGGAAGACATGGGAACTGTTTTGTTTCAGACGCTAGTACATATTATCCTGCGCTGTCTTTCCCTTTTTCTCTCTTTGACATCCGTCACTGCATCTGAAGACCGACTTTCTACATTATTATGAGATACGTCCTAAGTTCCCAGCACTCCATTAATTTGTCACTGGTTGAAAGTTAAGATGGCCATATGAAACATAAGAAATTCCATTATATTTGAAGTTATGATGAATAGCAGATTACAGTATCATGTAAGTATGCTGTATGTAAAATTATGTAATGTCGATCTGTAATTAAAATTTAACTGGTCATTCATGTTCAAACTGCCGAATCTGGAGAAATATTATATGTGAAAACTGTTTTAAAAATGAAAACCTTTCCCTTATAGGTGCTTACTCAAAATAACTTCTTCTGCTTAATTTTTCAATTTGGTTACTATTTCTATACATATGCTTTTTAGCAGGTAAGAATTTGCAGATTCTGTTAATCCTGAAATACTTGTCACACTAAATTAAATTTGACTGAATTTCTGGAGAACAATCAAAATAAACTTAACATTTATGTGATTAAATAGACATGAACTGAATATTTAGGAGACAATAACAAAAATTTTATTTCAAAATATGAAGTTAGAGTCAGTGTATTATATTTTTAAGTAGTATTGTTTCAAGCTGAACTGTGTGACCTTCTAAGTATTTGTTTTGTGAACCTAGAAACAACTTTATTTTTTGTTACATTATGTATAACATTGGCATACTTTATCCATTTTGGTATATATGCATATATGTAGGAATATATATATATATATATATATATATATATATATAGCAATTAAGTAACAGTACGAATGTAGAAAATATTTATAAGTAAAATGTCTGAAAACAGGACACATTGGAAGATGCACAAATGAATTATCACTAATTTTTAAATATGAGTTTAGAACTTGTTTAAAATATCTTCAAATCATTTTATAAGGCAATTTATTGTATGTTCTATTGAAAGAGAGATTATTGGCTATATGTAAATTAGTTAATTTATGTACTTCTATTAATTTATCTAGTACTTCATCGTGTAATTTGTTTTATAACAAGTTCTGTAAAAAGCAAGATTAAATCATTTTCAACTATGTGTCTAATTTTTGTTATAAAAATGAATATTTCCTTATAATAATTGTCCATAGCAAAATTATCTGTTTAATTTCCCAAAGAGTTATCTGAAAATCAAGAAAATTCAGATAAATTGGATGGGAATGTAGTAATCTAATCTGGACAAGAATTACATTTCTAGTAGTCCATCACAATATATTGATAGTAGACACAGCTCTATCTATATTCTTGCATAAATTATTTTATTTTATTTGTACATATCTATGGTTCATAAAGTTTGCAATCATCCTGGGGAGTAGCTAAACCTTCAAAACACAGTTTGTTTCTTTAATTTTTAATCTCCTTGCCCTTCCCTCCCTCCTCCTCCAATTCCCTGTTCTTTTTTTCATGATTATTTATCTCAGCTCATTTTATTTCATATAATGCTTATATCAATTGATGTCATTAGATTCATGCACATACCATGTCTGTAATTATTTCCCCTTTCCCTCTTGCTCACACCGTGCTTTTTCCCCTGGATCAATTCACTATGGACAGAAATTCATTTCCTTATTCCCATCTGTCCATCCTTATTGTTCTCTTTGTGCTTTGCCTCAGTCAAATGAGAGGTAATTATATGGTCTTTAAACTTGTGCGTCTGGTTTGTTTCATTCAAATTTACCTTTTCCAGGTATATTCACTTTTTTACAAATGTCCAGAATATGTCATTTTTATAGCACAGTTGTATTCCATTATACATAAATAGCACATTTTTTAATCAATCATCTGTCGATGAGTATACAGGCTGCTTCCAGGATTTGTCTATTAAGAATTGTGTTGTCTTAAATACTGGATGCAAGTATCACTGTAGCATGATGTCTGAGCCCTTTGGAGAAGATATCTAGCAGAAGAGTAGTTGGGACATATGGGATTTATAATTTCAAATCTTTGGGAAAGCTCCATAATGATTTTCATAATCACTGTACTTGTTTATGTTACCACCTGCATTGAAAGAGGGTTCCCTTTCTCCACAGCCTCACCAGCATTTGTGACTGTTTGGTTTCTTAATAGTTGTCATTCATTCCAGGGTAAGAGGCGGTAATCTTATCATTGCTTTCTGTTGTTGTTGTTTGTTTGATTTGGTACCAGGGATCTAACTCAAGACACACCTCAGAAGCTTATGCCACTGAGCTAAACCCTGGACCCTTATCATTGTATTAATTTGTACTTATCTAATGACCCCAGTTGCTAAGAAGTTTTCATATATTTGTTGACATTTGTATTTCTTCCTCTGTATCTTTTATTTCTCTCACCTTTTTCTTGACTAGACTTTTAAATGTAGTTGATATAGTTTTTGTTTGTTTGTTTGTTTGTTTTAGTTCATTGTGCGTTCTACATACTACAGCTGTGCCTGGAAGTCACTAGCAAAATTTTTTTCCCCTTTCTATATATTTTCCACTCTACTGAGTGAGTCTTTTGCTGTACAATAGTTTTTGGTCTGATATGATCCTAGTTCTTGATTCTTTGAATCCACCAGAGTCTTGGCTTCTTTTAGTCAATTGATCTTTTATTCACTGTGCCAATTTCATTAGTAATTATATAAGTGAAAAAAATGAAATCACAACAGTTACTGTGGAAATCCAGAAGATAATAACTGCTTTGAAAAATAATATTTCAATAAATTAACAAATACTGAACAAATGACATCTCTAGACAATACAAACTACAGAAAACCTAACACAAGATAACCTAAGTATGGTTAACAAACCCATAACAAGTAATCAAATTGGCACAGTAATAAAGGACACCATTGGAGGGAAGGGGTAGGCTGGACATACAAAGCTGAAAAGTATTCATGGGAAGACAACAATCTGTTAAACATCTCTATAGAGGCCACAAATTCTCCTTGCATCTCTACTCCAAAATCTTCAGTAAACCTGCAAAAAACTAGCAGAAAAAGAGAGGGCCTTATGTAATTTTATAGCCACAGGAGCCACATCTCTTCAGAGCCCCTGCCTTTCAGCTTGACTGCCAAACATGCCCAATCTGCTCTTCAACTGCTGTCAGTCTCCTGTGTGCTCTTCTCCTCATCCTCTCTCGGAACTTGCCAGTGTGAGGCGGAGGAGTGGCTGCTCGGGTCCAGATTCCAACACCCAGCCCTACCCCCAAGGGGCATCTATCCCCTCTGTGGTGTGATAGATTTCTTCTGTGTCACATAATTCTGTTTTGTTCTCCTCTATCAGTTTCCTCATAGTTCCCACGTGACCTCTACTAGCTTCAATTCCTCTCTAAACTTTGTTTTCAAGACTAAACGCTTGTCCTGGAAAAGCTGACTTATTAACACTCACTACTCTACCTTCTTGGTACTCTTCTGCATATTATAGGCTTTCCTTTGAATTAAGTAGCACAGATTTAGATATTCAATGGACTCAAAAACTTATTCTGCACTAAAATATTAATTTCTATGTTTTATACACAACTTCTGGTTAATTAGTATAAATAAAGGTTCATATTCTGATGTCTTATATTCTTTTCAAGATGTCTTTTATCTTCTCTAGCTGCTTTGCTTACGCTAGGTGGGGTTGAATTCCATTCATGTTTATTGAGCTAGTCAATTCTTCTTGTAGTCCTTGCTTAATTATTTTGAGTCTCATTCCCCTTCTGTGCGGATAATGGCAGGCAGTTAATCCACTGTGCTGTTATAGTGTCTTTTGGTCCTTCTCTGAATATCTTTCATATTTCATATTTGGATTCTTGTATGGAAAATCTTCAGTTGCTAGCCATTTCAGGGTGGTCTTATTACTTTTTCTGCTACAGCCAATTCACAGTGATAACTATGGCTTTCAATTTGATTAATTTGGTGACACTAAAAGATTTATGGAGATTTCTGATTCTTATTATGCTTAACAAAATCAGAAGTGTATTCAAAAGTACCAACTAATCTGTCTTGAAGAATAAGAAAGCTAATATCCCCTGTCTTCCCTCATGGAGCTCAGTGATGTTCCAGAAGAACACTGTGTAGTGTATGTCCTTTAAAAATACAAGACATAAAGTCTAAAGATGTGTTAAGCAAATTTACTCTTTCTTTTGAAATCAGTGAGTTAGATTAAAACAGCTACTTCACTGACTTTTCTTTTGTATCTGTAACTTTCTGTCATATATGTACATGGGCACAAAATAGACTTGTGTCTCTTTTCCTATAATTAGTTAAGAATTTCCTTATTTTAAACCCTGCGATTGTTTAGACCAGGGCTTCACATATGACAAATGTAAAGAACAATGAGTCACTTTCCATAAGATATTCTCTACAAAATTTTTATTTATTAACTTTATATTAAAAATCCAAGTAATTATAGTATATAATTTGCTATTTTCAAAAAAATTATCAGATCACAGTTAACTTTGAGAATAAGAAGAAAATTATAACTTTAATATTAAGCTGTATAAGAATTATATGTGCATATTCAAGACCTTTTCCCTTATACAAATATACGGTGAGAGCAGAATTCTCATATAGTATACAAATTTTAAGGAAAGTATTATATTTTAAGAAAAATCTATCAAGAATGCTTAAAAAGGGGTAAAGACAGGCTACAGTATCAAAGGAGTCCAGCTAGTGGCAGAGAAGATACATAGTAATTAGAGTCAGATTTCCTTAACATTATGTTTCTAATGTGTCTTTGATAGTTTTAAAGAAATGATTGTTTTAGGGAAAGATTCCAAGAAGTTTGCTAGATCTTGACAGCAAAAGCTATTAGAAATCATTTGATAAGTTGCCTACTTTTATAAATTGTTTGCCAAGAAGTAAGTCAGGGGAAACACATATGGAATAACATTTTATATATTGTATTTGAAAGATGGTCACATATTTGCTTATAAAAGTTTATGTGACAATTCACATGACAAAAAATAATTTAGCTGCTTATTGCCAAATATGATGCTATATTTTATAGTTGATATGTTCTGAGCATGCTAGTTTCAATTTTAGAATTTCAAGTACTATTTCTGCTACATGTCATCAGTGACCAAACATAATTTTTTGTCTTAGTACAGACCTATAGAATGGCCAAGAATGTCAGTAAATTAGATGTATACAGATAATGTTTTGATACCTGAAATTCTTTATGAATTAAGAATTTTTAGGGGAATTAATCTACTATTCTAGA